CGGAACATGATCTTTACTTAATATCCTAATTATTTTTGGCATAAAAGAAAAATCGATAATTTTGACCCATACAATGTTTTTTTTGGCTATTGCTACAAATATACCCCAGCGACTTAAGACTGGTTTCGTGGTCACAATTAATACAATAAAAATAAATCAAACAAAATTGTGATGTTCTGCTCAAATAAAAGGCATACAGGCATATATATATATATATATACACACACACACACACACACACACACACACACACACACACACACGCTATTTGCGGTGACTAAATCTGCGAGCAAACCTTCTGAGTGATGAACTGTAATTAATACAAATATGAATCTCAATTACATTGTTTTTCATGAATCTCAACTATATTGTTTGCAATTGTGGTTTAGGGTTGGGCGATGTCTACAGTGAAACATCGCGATGGACGATGACATTGGCGGGGGCGAGCGGGGGGAGGGGTGTGCCCGAAGCGTGAATCCTTATAAGGGAAAACACGATTCCTAACACAGTTTCTACACTGGACGTGAACGGCGCGGCGCGACAAAACCACTGATCTATAATAGAGATTTATTATATATACAGTAGATCAGTCTATAGAACTCATTATAATCAATCATGCTGTCTACACTGGATGCGGCGCGACACGACAAATCCTCGACAGTAAACTGCTGCCACATTCTATTTATGACGTGCTGACACAAATGTCAAATGATTTTCAACGGTCGCTTTGTCGCGTCCAGTGAAGACAGACTTTAGCTGATGTGGCGCGACACGACAACTGTCGCGTCCGGTGTAGACACGGTGTAACGGTTGCCTGTTACATTACAGTACATAAAATTTCACTTACCACATAAACAGAGTAAGGAGAGATGACTGAGGACGATGGCGAATGATCTGCAGATCCTCAGTACCAATGACAAACATATAAAATGTGTGGCAAGTACTGCCGCTCCATAGTATAAACGGAGTACGTGCGATCGCGAATCTCAAAAGTGAAAGTGAAACTAAAAACGGTCGTGCATACAAAAGCACGATGCCAGTTTCAATGCCAGGTATAATAGCGGCTCCCTGATGCCGAAATATATATGTAGTATAATTACCTAATTATATAACTGCCAGGAAAAATATTGAAATATATATTTTCCTCCCATCTCGTATTTATTCCCTTTAGGGGTTCCGCCTACATGGCATTTTCTTTCCGAACATGGTATTGGGATGTGGGGGGAATGACGATGCCGGCTCAACATCGTGATGTCTATCAGCCATCGCCGATGGATGATGGTATCGTCTATCGGCCCAACCCTATTGTGGTTGCTGAATAAATGCTTACGCAACCTCAATGTGCCACAATACAAAGTTTTTGTTTATTTTAAGAGAAAAATGCTAACATAATTTGTTATTATTAAATTATTAATAGGAATTTTACGGTTTTATCTTTTGAGAGAAATTTCTTCGTTTTTCCAGCTTTTATAATGTAGACAGTGTGCTAATGTATATGATTAAAAAGAACACACAAAGAAAATAGATGAGGTAAAATAAACCCTGTGTACGAGCTGACATTTCGTAATTTGTGCTTACGTAAAAGTGCAATAATTGTAAAGAAACGTAATAAGAAATTTCTCAAATCAGAAGTCGTAATTAATAATTGCGATTATACTTTTTGATCGTAATAATAAAAAAATAATCATGATCATCAGTTTAACCAGCCTTAGTAAAAACCCCAAACAAAACACTTACATCATTTATATCAATGTTCTTATCCACATCCACCACAAACTTTCCTTCAGGATGCACCTAAAAACATAGCATAAATATAAATGATTAACAAAACTGCACTGCAACATGTCAACACAAATCATGCTCATGTAATTAAGCAGTAAATAATGGCTGTCAAACCTTGACCAGCACTTTCTTCTTGTCCATGGCTCTCACCACCTCTCCTACATAAGACCCCTGCTCCTGCAGCAACTGAAGCTCCTCACGCAGGAGGCGCACTGAAAGAAACAGCACAAAGCACATCCTGTCATGTCATACTGATGACATTCTTAAAGGAACACGCCACTATTTTTGAAAATAGGCTTATTTTCCAACTCCCCTAGAGTTAAACAGTTGAGTTTTACCGTTTTCAAATCCATTCAGCCGATCTCCGGGTCTGGCGGTAGCACTTTTAGCTGTAGCTTAGCATAGATCATTGAATCTGATTAGACCGTTAGCATCTCGCTCAAAAATGACCAAAGAGTTTCTATATTTTTCATATTTAAAACTGGACTCTTCTGTAGTTACATCGTGTACTAAGACTGACGGAAAATGAAAAGTTGTGATTTTCTAGGGCGATATGGCTAGGAACTATACTCTTGAAGTTAGCCTATTTTCAGGCGCTGCGTAATATCATTGCGCCTGCTGCACCCATGGTACGGCAGCAAAGTTCCTTGATTATTACGCCGGAATGAGAGTATAGTTCCTAGCCATATCGGCCTAGAAAATCGCAACTTTTCATTTTCCATCGGTCTTAGTACACGATGTAACTACAGAAGAGTCAAGTTTTAAATAGGAAAAATATAGAAACTCTTTGGCCATTTTTGAGCGAGATGCTAACGGTCTAATCAGATTCAATGATCTATGCTAAGCTACAGCTAAAAGTGCTACCGCCAGACCCAGAGATCGGCTGAATGGATTCGAAAACGGTAAAACTCAACTGTTCAACTCTAGGGGAGTTGGAAAATGAGCCTATTTTCAAAAATAGGGGCGTGTTCCTTTAACATATTCTATTTGGCATATGCAACTGAACACCACAAAGTGACATTCACGAGAAAGTGGGTTAAAAAGGCCTCACCCTTGGCATTTAACTCGTTCCTTTGAGCCTGAAGACGTCTGAGATTTTGGCTTTTCTCATTCACTGTCAACTAAGTAAAGAGAACATTTAGACATAACATACCCACGTGAAAAAGAAGTGTGCTTAATTGCATTGAATGTTTATTTGTAGTGTACTTCAAATCTTAAAAGTATATATTTAAAAAAAAAAAAAAACGTAGTTGCAGAAAATATGAATGTAATAAAAGGCCACTTACGTGTGCTTAAAGAGATTTTAAAGTATGTTTTAAATCATTGTTTTAATTTATGGTTGTGCTATAAAAGAACTTACATTTTTTAATGTGTTGACTAACATAATAAAGCACATGTAAAGCTCTTGATTATCATTTTATTTGATATATCACTGAAAGGTAATATATTTTAAAAGTTCTAAATGGCAGTTTCATCATTACAAACATGCAATTACAATAATATTTAAATACAAGTTTTAATAGAAATGCCATTGAACTATATTTTAGTTGATCATAAATGCTTGTCAGTACTTTCAGCAGCACACTAACCATATTTTAAAACAGTATAATTATGAAATTACATAAAGATATACTTAAGTGGGCCAAAAAAAAACCACACACACAAGTTCAACGACCCCCATTTAATTGTAAATAACATGCAATTAAGTGTCTGAAAACATTACAACCAGTTCACCGTATATTCGTTTAAATTAAATTATTTCCGTAATAAACATAAAAGCAAAGTCCTTAATATCTATAGATTAAATTGTGCGTCATGGCTATTCTTACCTGAAGCTCCTCGATTTTAGACAGGTAATACTGTCGGAGACCAGATCCTCCTTTACTGTCCTCAATATCCATCTGTAAAAAAATTATTATTAACAATAATATTAATAACCTAAACAATCGGTTTGTTAATAGTCAGTGCCAGGTAAAGTGATGTGATTATTCATGACGTTTTATTAGAAATTAACCATTTAACAAGTTATGATCAGTAATGAGAGATTTCTCATGTTATGTTATGATTTCTGTTATGAAGTTATGGCCAGATAGGAGCGATTTCGATTCTGTGTTATGATCAGACTCAGAGGTGTGATTATTGGAGATTTCTTCTTATCATAAGACATCAAATATTTCTATTGTTTTAATTAGTGATTTCGCATGTTATAACAAAACATTCATCAAACATATGTTATGTTATAAACAGTTATACCATGTTATGATCAGTTCCAGTCAGTGTAACACAATGAGACAGCAAACTCTGCTTCAATCCGAGCAAACGCGTCTTAAAGTCAGCCATTCTATCGTATATTTCCAAACACCAAAATTATAGCAGGTTCCTCATATGCAATATGTGATGCTGACTTATAAAACACAGCTAACTGTGTTGTTCATAATTTTCGATTTAATAGAAAAATATCACTTACTTGCTCGATCCCGTCCAGCGCCATCTTGAACATACAAACTTCCGTCCGTCAGTGGCGCTATTTCCGCTTTGTTTTACTCGGGCAGAATGCCGACTGAAGGATGTGTGCTCTAGCGCCAACGTCACGCTGGAGAGTTCCCTTTCATGGGAACTTCGAACTGCGTCCTCTAGGGGCCGCGGTTACATAAGTAACCAAGTGGAATAATGCGGAATTGGTAACGGTAAGTGGACAGTCAGGGTATGGCATACCGATTTAACATTTAATCCTTGAAACGTACTAGTGTCTATTTGCATGCTATTTTATGCTACTAGTACTTATTTTTTTTTGCTTCTAGTATCTATTTCATTGGGTAGGCTACTAGATACTAGTGCTTATTCTTAAGGCAGTGCTCATTCTTACTAGTAACTTTTTAAAGATAGTGTTTTGTTCAGTAGATAGTAGTAATTAGTTACTAGTTAATTCAATAGTGACTAGTACCTACATTGTTTGTTATTGACTTCTATGGGGATCTGTCATTCAGATACCAACTATTCAGTTCTGACTAGTATACACACACACACACACACACAC